TACCCGCAACAGGTCATGTGTTTAAGAATTTCCTTCAACGACCTCAAAGCAGTTGTGTGGCCTTGCCTTGAATAGGGGGCTCAGGTGGTAGTCCTTTACCAGGCTGATGGAGGGCCTTGTCCGGTGGCTTTATGGGGCCCCATGATTTTTAGTGGCAGGCCAGCCAGTGAGTGTTCGATTGCCTTAGGGTAGTGTTTCCCAACCTTAGTCCTCAAGTACCCGCAACAGGTCATGTTTTTAAGGCTTTATGGGGCCCCATGATTTTTAGTGGCAGGCTAGCCAGTTAGTGTTCGATTGCCTTAGTGCAGTGGTTCCCAACCTTATTCCTCACCTTACCTTAGTACCCCCAACAAGTCATATTTTTAAGGATTTCCTTCAAGGACATCAAAGCAGTTGTGTGGCCTTGCCTTCAATAGGCTGATGGGGGGTTCTTGTTAGGTGGCTCTGTGGGTCCCCGTGATTTTTAAAGGCAGCCCAGTCAGGGGGTGTACGATCGCCCTAGGGCAGCGGTTCCCAACGTCAGTCCTGAACTGCTTCCAACACGCCACACTTTGAAGTATTTTACCTTGTACAAGAGTTTTAAATCAATGTCAATGGCTTAGTAGTTATCTAAGGCAAATTTCCAAACATGGCATGTTAGGGGTACTTGAGGACCACTACCTTAGTGTGTCAATAAGTATTTTTTTCCATATGGAGCAATTTGGATCACACTTTTAATTTTTTTGCCTTCTGGACGAACCATGGAATTAGCATTCTGAGGATGCTGGATTCTTAGAAGTATTTATTTTTATTGACATGACTTGGACAACTTGATGGACATCTTTTTTCATCCTAACCACGTAAGATGCCCCCTCAACTGTGGTGTCTGCCATGCTGTAAACATGTTTTATGTTTGTGGAAATCGAGACTCTATATAAGCCTGACCCAAGGACATGTTTATAGCATGGAGCCTAGCCCAGGTCTAACCTTTGACCTCTGCTCCCATCCATCAGCAACAGTTTTCTCTTCGTAAATCCTTCCCTAACAAGCCATCCCAGTTCCTTTTAGAGGCTTTGTTATCTTGCCTTCATGTCTGTTTACGTGTTTGTGCAATAAGTCACCAGCGGCCTTGCATTTGGGTAACCTCATTTGTGGAAGGGTCGAGGCCTCATAAAGCTCCATGTGACCTTGTAAGAGTTTATTAATACCCCGCAATCCAATGACTTGGTGAACTCTGGAAGATGGGCAATGGTTAATGTGGAACTTGTCCAGGATGCTTCTCCTGGAGGCCTGCAGTTTTATGGATCCTAACAGCCCCCAATTCCCTCTATAAAAGTTTACAACGGACAGATTCATTAAGAGGAATTAGTTTTTCGGGGTCCAAATCCTGATTCCTGGCAAGAGAAGGGTGCAAAGTTTTAATAAGCGGCGCGCTGAGTTAGTGGTTAACACTTGGGCTCTGCAGGACCGAGGTGTGGAGTTGGGTTACCAATGTGTTTTCTCGGAATGTTCTACTATTAGGGTAATATGTAAGCTCATCTACTCTGCCGCTGCCTTGTGGCCCCATAAAAACTATTCTTCTATTTTCTATTTGTATTCTTTTTTTACTGATTTCACTGTTTAGGGGATACTTGTAAATGTATAGAACATTTTTGGGTTCACACACGTGCTACACTTTAATTAGTAAACTTTTTTTTTTTTTTTTAATGGATCTCAGTTCAAGTGTAATATTTCCTGTGGGCCCATGCACACTGCTGCAAAAAGATGATTAAACCCGCAGAAGAAAAAAAAAGAAAGTCTGCATCTGTGGTAGCGTGTATAGACCGCATTGTACACGGTACACTTATGAATGTTTGTAGTAAACTTTACATGCATACGGCATTAGGCTCCATGCACACTGGCTTAAAAAAAAAAAAACCCCCAGTGCTCTCGGCAGTAAAAAGAAGAAAAAAAAATTGATAATTTTGAGGTTTTTTTTTATACTAGTGTTTAGGAGCGTTTTTTTTTTACGTTTTTTTTGTTTCTCAAAAACGCAAAAACAGAAGGGTTTTTTTTTCTGCCTCTAAATGCTGAGCTCAATAAAATGCCTCTAGACTACGTAATGTGCATGGACACATAGGAAAACATTACCTGCTTCTACAGGCAAAACTCCTCTAGGAGCAGCATTTTTTTAAGCCATTGTTCATGGAGTAGTACAATAGCAGCCTGCTTCCTAGCAACGGAGGATGCTAGGTGGCAGTAGCCTCTTGTATCTTAGCAATGAAGGATGCTAGGAGACAGTAGCTGCCTGCGTCCTAGCAATGTAAAGCGCAAGGTGGCAATAGTCCCCTGTGTCCTAGCAATGGAGGATGGTGGGCGGCAATAGTCTCATGCGTCCTAGCAACAAAGGATACTAGGAAACAGTAGCTGCCTGCGTTCTAGCAACAGTGGAGGCTTGGTGGCAACTGTTCCCTGATCCTGGCAAGGGAGGAGGCTTAGTGGCAACTGTTCCCTGATCCTGGCAAGGGAGGAGGCTTGGTGGCAACTGTCCCCTGATCCTGGCAAGGGAGGAGGCTTGGTGGCAACTGTTCCCTGATCCTGGCAAGGGAGAATGCTTGGTGGCAACTGTCCCCTGATCCTGGCAAAGAAGGATACTAGGTAGAAATAGCCATTTGTATTCCAGAAATGGAGGATGTTAATCTCCTGTGTCCTACCAACAAAAAATGCTAGTAAACAGTAGCTGCCTGCATGCATCTTAGCAACAGAGGGTGCTGTGTGGCAATAGTCCTCTGGTCCTGGCAAGGGAGGATGCTAGGAGACAATAGCTGCCTGCATCCAGCAATGAAAGCGCTAGGTGGCAATAGTCCCCTGTGTCCTAGCAATGGAGGATGGTGGGCAGCAATAGTCTCACGCGTCCTAGCAACGAAGGATGCTAGGAAACAGTAGCTGCTTGTGTTCTAGCAACAGAGGAGGCTTGGTGGCAACTGTCCCCTGATCTTGGCAAGGGAGGAAGTTTGGTGGCAACTGTCCCCTGATCCTGGCAAGGGAGAAGGCTTGGTAGCAACTGTCCCCTGATCCTGGCAAGGGAGAAGGCTTGGTAGCAACTGTCCCCTGATCCTGGCAAGGGAGGATGCTAGGGGGCAATAGCCATTTGTATTCCAGAAATGGAGGATGCTAACCTCCTGTTACCTACCAACAAAAAAATGCTAGTAAACAATAGCTGCCTGCATGCATCTTAGCAACAGAGGGTGCTGTGTGGCAATAGTCCTCTGGTCCTGGCAAGGGAGGATGCTAGGTGGCAATAGCCTCTTGCGTCCTAGCAATGAAGGATGCTAGGAGACAGTAGCTGCCTGCGTCCTAGCAATGAAGGATGCTTGGAAACAGTAGCTGCCTGTGTCCTAGCAGTGTAGCTATGAAAGATGCTAGGTGGCAATAGTCCACTGTGTCCTAGCAACCAAGGATGCTGGGCAGCAATAGCCTCCTGCATCCTACCAGCAAAGGATGCTAGAGAAAACAGTAGCTGCCTGCGTCCTAGCAACAGAGGACAGTTGGTGGCAACAGTCCCCAGGTCCTGGCTGGGAGGATGCTAGGCAGCAATAGCCATTTACATTACAGCAGTGAAGGATGCTAGATGATGATAGCCTCCTGCATCCAACCATTGAAAGATGCTAGAAAACAGTAGCTCCCTGCATCCTAGCAACAGAGGATGCTTGGTGGCAATGGTCCCCTGGTCCTGGCAAGGAAGGATGCTATACAGCAATAGACTCTTTCCTCCTAGCAACGGAGGATGCTAGGAAATAGTAGCTTCCTGCATCCTAGCAATGAAAGAAGCTAGGTGGCCATAGTCCACTGTGTCCTATCAAAGGAGGATGTTGGGCGGCAATAGCCTCCTGCATCCTACCAATAAAGGATGCTAGGAAACAGTAGCTGCCTGTGTCCCAACAACGGGGACGCTTGGTGGTAAGAGCCCCCTGCTCCTGGCAAGGGAGAATGCAAGGTGACAATAGCCAATTGTATTTAAGCAATGGAGGACCCCAGGCTGCAGTAGCCACCTACATCCTAGGAACAGAGGAACCTGGGCAACAGTAGCTGCTTGAGTCAAGCAACAGAGGGCGGTAGGCGACAATAGTCTCCTGTGTCCTAGCAACAGAGGATGCTACGTGGCAGTAGTCACCTGCATTCTAACAATGGAGGATGCCAGGTGAAAATTGCTGCCTGTGTGCTAGCAACAAAGGTTGCAGGGTGGCCATGGCTGGTTACATCCTACCAACCAATTGGCTGGATTAATGCTGACTGAGTACAAGTACTTGAGGTTTTATATGACACTAAACCATCCGGGGAGACCAGATATAGTGAATGCAGGGTCCGAGGAGAGTGGATATATTGAATGCAGGGTTCGGGGAGAGCGAATATAGTGAATGCAGGTTCTGGGGAGACCAGATCTAGTGAATGCAGGGTCCTGAGAGACTAGATATAGTAAATGCAGGGTTCGGGGAGACCAGATATAGTGAATGCAGGGTTCGGGGAGACCAGATATAGTGAATGCGGGGTCCAGGGAGACAGGATATAGTGGATGCAGGGTCCAGGGAGACGGGATATAGTGAATGCATGGTCCAGGGAGACCAGATATAGTGAATGCAGGGTCCGGGGAGACGGGATATAGTGAATGCAGGATCCAGGAAGACCAGATATAGTCAATGCAGGGTCCGGGGAGTGCGGATATAGTGAATGCAGGGTCCAGGGAGTGCGGATATAGTGAATGCAGGGTCCAGGGAGTGCGGATATAGTGAATGCAGGGTCCAGGGAGTGCGGATATAGTGAATGCATGGTCCGGGGAGACCAGATATAGTGAATGCAGGGTCCGGGGAGTGCGGATATAGTGAATGCATGGTCCGGGGAGAGCGGATATAGTGAATGCATGGTCCGGGGAGAGCGGATATAGTGAATGCATGGTCCGGGGAGAGCGGATATAGTGAATGCGGGGTCCGGGGAGAGCGGATATAGTGAATAGGGTCCGGGGAGACCAGATATAGTGAATGCAGGGTCCGGGGAGAGCGGATATAGTGAATGCGGGGTCCGGGGAGAGCGGATATAGTGAATGCGGGGTCCGGGGAGAGCGGATATAGTGAATGCGGGGTCCGGGGAGACCGGATATAGTGAATGCAGGGTCCGGGGAGACGGAATGTAGTGAATGCAGGGTCCGGGGAGACCGGATATAGTGAATGCAGGGTCCGGGGAGACCGGATATAGTGAATGCAGGGTCCGGGGAGACGGGATGTAGTGAATGCAGGGTCCGGGGAGAGCGGATGTAGTGAATGCAGGGTCCGGGAGACAGGATATAGTAAATGCTGGGTCCGGGAGACCGGATATAGTGAATGCAGGGTCCGGGGAGAGGATATAGTGAATGCAGGGTCCAGGGAGACCAGATATAGTGAATGCAGGGTCCGGGGAGACGGATATAGTGAATGCAGGATCCAGGAAGACCAGATATAGTGAATGCATGGGTCCGGGGAATGCGGATATAGTGAATGCATGGTCCGGGGAGAGGATATAGTGAATGCATGGTCCGGGAGAGCGGATATAGTGAATGCATGGTCCGGGGAGAGCAGATATAGTGAATGCATGGTCCGGGGAGACCGGATATAGTGAATGCAGGGTCCGGGGAGACCGGATATAGTGAATGCAGGGTCCGGGGAGGCCGGATATAGTGAATGCAGGGTCCGGGGGAGACGGGATGTAGTGAATGCAGGGTCCGGGGAGACGGGATGTAGTGAATGCAGGGTCCGGGGAGAGCGGATGTAGTGAATGCAGGGTCCGGGGAGACAGGATATAGTAAATGCAGGGTCCGGGGAGACCGGATGTAGTGAATGCAGGGTCCGGAGAGAGAGGATGTAGTGAATGCAGGGTCCGGGGAGAGCGGATGTAGTGAATGCAGGGTCCGGGGAGAGCGGATATAGTGAATGCAGGGTCCGGGGAGACAGGATATAGTAAATGCAGGGTCCGGGGAGTTTAAATACATTAAAAATATTTCCTTGTAAATCCATATTGTCAGTTCCTCTTTAAGATACTACCAAATGATTATTTTTTTATTTATATATTTATTTTATTTTGGGGGTCTCTCATTAAATTCTGGAGGCAGAAGGTTTTAGTGCACACACAGTACCTATTCTAATTAATTAAAGGGATAATCTACTTAAGAGGCTTTTTGAGACAAGCTGGAAGTTAAATGGCTGCTTACGTTAGACACTTCTTAGATCCGTATTGATGGGAAGTTATATTGCCTTCTTTGTTTTATCACTAATCCTGATTAGAGTTTGCCACTTCTCCGATATTTACAGGAGGGACGAGGCGCTCCAAAGTTCGCTGATGAGAGCGCATTTTGATAATCTATGGGTCCATTCACACTGACGCGGGTGCATTGCGGTGCCATTCATTTTGAATGGCATCCCAACACCACTGGCCAGCTCACCTCCACGTACATGCGTTTAAATACGCCGCAGAGCACAGATGTGGACTAGTTGCAGTGAGGAGCCAAAAAAAAGTACAATATGCAAAGCGCTGTACAGATGATAAGCACTATATAATATATCTCCTCCTAGATTGTAAGCTCGAAAGAGCAGGGCCCTCGATCCCCTCATGTTTTGCATTGTATTGGTATTGTTCTGTCACATGTTCTGTCCCCCTTTGTAATGTACAGCGCTGAGCGAACTATTGGCGCTTTATAGATACTGTGTAATAATAATAATATAAATATCTTCATTGAAATAAGAAGAATACAGGTTTTTCCTGCTTTAACCACTCGCCCTCCAAAGGATTCCCCCCTTCCTGAAAATAAATTAATTGGTTTACATGAAAGTTGTAGGGTTTACAAATGGCGGTATAGATACTGGGATTTATTTATTTTATTTTTTTTACTAGTAATGGCAGCGATCAGCAACTTATAGCGGGACTGCGGGAGGCATTCTGACACTGGGGGGAACTGACTTGGTGTCACTGACATTCCCAGTGACATTAATACAGTGATCAATGCTAATTAAAAGCACCGACACTGTACTAATGACACTGGGCAGGAAGGGGTTAACTTGTGGGGCGATCAAAGGGTTAATTGTGTGTGATTGACAGCCGAGGCTGCGAATGGCACGCGTCCCCCTGCCCGGAACTGCAAAATCACACAAACACACACATATATATATATATATATTTATATCCCAAAAGTGAGTCCACCCCTCACATGTTTGTAAATATTTGATTCTCTCTTTTCATGTGACAACACTGAAGAAATGACACGTTGCTACAATGTGACGTAGTCAGTGTACAGCTTGTATAACATGTGAATTTGCTGTCCCCTCAAAATAACTTAACACACAGCCATTAATGTCTAAACCGCTGGCGACAAAAGTAAGTCCACCCCTAAGTGACAAGGTCCAAAATTGGACCCAATTAGCCCTTTTCCCTCCCTGGTGTCATGTGACCCGTTAGTGGTACAAGGTCTCAGGTGTGAATGGGGAGCAGGTGGGTTACATTTGGTGTTATCGCTCTCACTCTCATACTGGTCACTGGAAGTTCAACATGGCACCTCATGGCAAAGAACTCTGAGGATCTGAAAAAAAAAGAATTGTTGCTCTACATAAAGGTGGTTTAGGCTATAAGAAGATTGCCAAGACCCTAAAACTGAGCTGCAGCACGGTGGCCAAGGCCATACAGAGGTTTAACAGGACAGGTTCCACTCAGAACAGGCCTCACCATGGTCGACCAAAGAAGTTGAGTGCACGTGCTCAGCGTCATATCCAGAGGTTGTCTTTGGGAAATAGACGTATGAGTGCTGCCAGCATTACTGCAGAGGTTGAGGGGGTGGGGGGTCAGCCTGTCAGCGCTCAGACCATACGCCGTACACTGCATCTAATTGGTCTGCATGGCTGTTGTCCCAAAGATGATGCACAAGAAAGCCTACAAACAGTTTGCTGAAGACAAGCAGACTAAGAACATGGATTACTGGAACCATGTCCTGTCGTCTGATGACCCCAAGATCAACTGATTGGGTTCAGATGGTGTCAAGCGTGTGTGGCGGCAACCAGGTGAGGAGTACAAAGACAAGTGTGTGTTGCCTACAGTCAAGCATGGTGGTGGGAGTGTCATGGTCTGGGGCTGCATGAGTGCTGCCGGCACTGGGGAGCTACAGTTCATTGAGGGAACCATGAATGCCAACATGTACTGTGACATACTGAAGCAGAGCATGATCCCCTCCCTCCGTAGAGTGGGCTGCGGGGCAGTATTCCAACATGATAACAACCCCAAACACACCTCCAAGACCACCACTGCCTTGCTGAAGAAGCTGAGGGTAAAGGTGATGGACTGGCCAAGCATGTCTCCAGACCTAAACCCTATTGAGCATCTGTGGGGCATCCTCAAACAGAAGGTGGAGGAGCGCAAGGTCTCTAACATCCACCAGCTCCGTGATGTTGTCATGGAGGAGTGGAAGAGGACTCCAGTGGCAACCTGTGAAGCTCTGGTGAACTCCATGCCCAAGAGGGTTAAAGGCAGTGCTGGAAAATAATGGCGGCCACACAAAATATTGATACTTTTGGCCCAATTTGGACCTTGTCACTTAGGGGTGGACTCACTTTTGTTGCCAGCGGTTTAGACATTAATGGCGGTGTGTTGAGTTATTTTGAGGGGACAGCAAATTTACATGTTATACAAACTGTACACTGACTACGTCACATTGTAGCAAAGTGTCATTTCTTCAGTGTTGTCACATGAAAAGAGAGAATCAAAGATTTACAAACATGCAGTTGTGTTCAAAATAATAGCAGTGTGTTGAATAATAAAGTGAATAAAAGCTGAAAATCCTTCTAATAGCTTTTATTTCCATCCACACAAATGCATTGGGAACACGACACATTCTATTCCAAATCAAAACATGAAGAAAAATACATCAAATTTGTGTTGTTCCTCTAAAAAAAAATTGAAGAAAAGTGAATATTAGACGGTTCAAAAAAAATCGCAGTGTTTGTATTCTTCTTTACAAACTCAAACATTCACTATATAAACTGAGAAATGTTTGAAGATTTTGCTTTCCTTTGAATGACTTCATGAATATTTGGTTGTAGTCGCACTGTTTCTGAGAACTGCTGTACATCTGTGTTGCATGGAGTCACCCAACTTCTGGCCCCTGTGATCAGGTATTCCAGCCCAGGATGATTGGACCACATTCCACAGTTCTTCTCTGTTTCTTGGTTTTGCCTCAGAAACGGCATTTTTGATGTCACCCCACAAGTTTTCTATTGGATTAAGATCCGGGGATTGGGCTGGCCACTCCATAACGTCCATCTTGTTGGTCTGGAACCAAGATGTTGCATGTTTACTGGTGTGTTTGGGGTCGTTGTCTTGTTGGAACACCCATTTCAAGGGCATTTCCTCTTCAGCATAAGGCAGCATGACCTCTTCAAGTATTCTGATGTATTCAAACTGATCCATGATCCCTGGTATGCGATAAATAGGCCCAACACCGTAGTATGAGAAACATCCCCATATCATGATGCTTGCACCACCACCATGCTTCACGGTCTTCACAGTGTACTGTGGCTTGAATTCAGTGTTGGGGGTCGTCTGACAAACTGTCTCCACCCACTAGACCCAAAAAGAACAATCTTACTTTCCTCAGTCCACAAAATGTTGCACCCATTTCTCTTTAGGCCAGTCATTGTGCTCTTTGGCAGATTGTAACCTCTTCAGCACATGTCTTTTTTCCAACAGTGGGACTTTGCGGGGACTTCTTGCAGATAGCTTGGCTTCACATAGGCGTCTTCTAATTGTAACAGTCCTCACAGGGAATGTCACACCTTCTTTCATCTTCCTGGAGCTGATTGTTGGCTGAGTCCGCGCCATCTTGGCTATTCTTCTATCCATTCCAATGGTAGTTTTTCGCTTTCTTCCACGTCTTTCAGGTTTTTGGTTGCCATTTTAAAGCATTTGCGATCATTTTAGCTGAGCAGCCGATCATTTTCTGCACTTCTTTATATGTTTTCCCCTCTCCAATCAACTTTTTAATCAAGGTACGCTGTTCTTCTGAACAATGTCTGGAACGACCCATTTTTCCTCAGAATTTCAGAGAGAAATGCACTGTAACCAGCATGTACAACATTTGCTGCCTTCCTTCCTTAAATAAGGGCAATAATTGCCACCTGTTTTTCAAAGAATGAATGACCTCACTAATAGAACTCCACACTGCTATTATTTTGAACACGCCCCTTTCAATGAGTGATTCAATTACACAGAATCAGCAGCATGCATGTCATGACTGTTGGGTCTGTTGGATTTCTATTCCTCTACTACACCTGCTAGGAAATTATTTGCCATGTAGAAATATCATTTCTACCAAAAACAGTGATTGATCCGGTTAGTGATGTCTGACTGCTATTATTTTGAACACAACTGTATGTGATTTTGCGCACAGCCATGCCGCCCTGTAGCAGTATTTCTGCTATAGGGTGGCACAGAAGTGGTTAAGGTGCGCTTCAAAATGAATGGACAGCCGGAAGTGTATCTAAACCCATGAACAAAAATGTAATATTTGTCAGATTACCAGTCCTTAGATGTGGTGGCTGCATTAGTTTTCTTTTTTTCTGTTTTCATCTGGTGATCCTGGCAGTAACTTACTTCCTGTCTTACAGTGACAACGCTCAGTACACGGTCACCTTAGGGCAGGAAGTGTATTAGGACTACAGAACACCTCCCACTTTTCTCTTCTCCATATCATAGCAGGAAGCAGACCTGGATCTAAGGGGGTGTGGGGGGACTTTATTTGGCCCTGTAATCTATTGTTCATGAAATGGCTTCTTAGGACCTAATCACATCTCTACACTTTTGCAGCATTAAATATATAACTGTTCAGCACATCAAAAGTGCATGTAAAATAGTCCCCTTTAAGCGGTCCCTTGTTCATGTCTGTGTGCTGCGGAGTGCTGGGCTTTTCACATGTCCTGA